TGGATTTTATTTGAAATGCAGTGGGACCCCAGCCACTGGAGATCTAAGCACGGGTGACATGATTCAGTTTCCATTTTAAGATGCTCTCTTTGGCAGCTGGGTCAAGACTGGTGGCAGAAGGGCAGATGGGACCCAGGCCGACCAGGGAGAAGTCTCCTGCCGGATGGAGAGTGGCAAATGGGGAATAGAGGACATCGATTTCAGAGCTAGAGCTGTAGAACTTGATGGGTTAGAATGTGGGTGGGAGATTTTATTATATTTTTTCATCTACTGGTCTTTGGCCTCTGTCCTCCATGGGGACAGGGATCCTAGTGGTCTTGTTCACGGTTGTTTCCCTGGGGACAGAGTACAGGTGTCTGATAAAGATTTAATGCATGACAAAGGAGTGAGTGAATTAAAGAATGAGAAGGGGACACCTGGTTGCTGGCTCAGCCTCAGGGTGGGTGGTGGTAGCACCCTGAGAGGAGACCTGGGAGGCAGAAGGGTGAGATCACAGCACAACATCAGGGAGTAGTGAAGACACCCTGGCGTGGCCATACAGGGCTGTCAGTGAGAGTGGAGAGCATGAGGAAAGGGGGTGTCTCTTGAGGTCCCTGTTGTACACCCAGCATGTAGAGCAGTGCCTGGGACAGAGAAAAGACTTGACATGTCCTTGCTGAATGAATGAACAAATGAATGAATGAGTGGGGCTGAGAGGGGATTTCTGGACTAGAAAATAATGTGGATGTTACCAGCACCTGGGAAATGTTTAAGGCCATGGGAATGGATGAGGTCACCTAGGGAAGTATGGAAAATGAAAGGAAGCGCCTCCCCCAACTTCCCCGCCCACTGCCAGCAACCAGAGACTGCTAATTTGGGGAGCAGGAACCCTAACTCAGCTGAAAGCAGAAGCCTGCATTTCAGATAGATGCATGCTAACCACTACCCTTCCAGGGATCCCTGGAGAAGGAGGTAAACACGAGGAGTAAGAGGGGCAGGCCTCACAACCCTGTTGGGCACTGACATCACAAGGCCTAGCCCTCTGACTTGTAGCTGTAGCCTCCTCTGGGCTCCCTCTCCTCAGCCCCTGATGCTGGGTCAGGCCCAACTGAGACTGTCCAGGAGAAATCCAGGTTGCTGGAGTCCCTGGCAGCCCTGTGGACTGATGCACACTGTCCAAGCCTGGGTGTGGTTCCTGCAGCCCCAGGTGAATGAGCAAGCTCAAGTGCCACCTGTTGTGAGGGTACTGGTGTGTGCACACACAGGCTTGGAGCCAGGGGTTGAGGAAGAGTGCTCACTGCAACAATGCTGCAGAGACCCCGGAGGGTGGGCACTGGACAGCATCATAGCCCAAGCCCAGGGTGTGCCCTAAGTCTCTCCAGATTAGGCGAGTCACAGCCCTGCCCTACACGCCTGATGGGTCAGGGAGAAACAGAGAAGAACCCGAGGAAAATCCTGCTGGGAGAGGAGCTCATCTGAGCCCAGTTTGGAACATCTGGGTTCAGGACTGGCCTCCACTACTAACAAGGTGTGTGGGTCCAAGTGAGTTTGAAAGTCTAAGTACTGGAAATGGTCTCCTAATCCCACCTCCCATGCCGAGCAGAATTCTTCCCACAAGTCACTGGCATTGCACACCATCATCTGCTGTGTCTCTAAATACTTCTGGGACAGGGGCTTCACCACCCCACAGGGCAGTTCTTTTGATTTGGTGGTGTTGTTAGAAAGCTTCTTTTTCAAAAAGCCTGGAAGGACCCACAACCGATGTTAACAGTGTCATCTCCAGGATAGGGAAAAGGATTGAGGGCGGGTGGCAGGGGCTCCCCTGTTGATTTGGTAAGGGGTGCTTTCCAAAACTTTGTATTAAATTTGTAATAGCAAGGAAAACAACAAAAAATAAGTTTCTTTATTTAAACCCATTCTGCCTTCCTAACATTCCCACCTATTGGTCCAGATCTGCTCTCTGTGACCAGAGAATAACCTAAACCCACTTTCCCATAGGTGCCCTTCAAACAGCTGGTGGTGGGAGCCGGTTTCCGTCGAGTCTTCTCCAACTTGGGTTTCAGGCAGGTCCGACCCAATTCACCCGTTCAGTGAGTCCAGAGAAGAAAACTCCAGTGGGGTCCCAGGGGGGAAGGGAGCAAGCACACCCTGAGTTGGGTGCTACCTCTTGCTAATTAATTAATGAAGCCTGAGAAAATATCCCTCTCCACTACATGTGTGTAGGGGTGAGGTTGCACACACATAAAAGAGAGAATTTAATCACTCACTTCCCCAAACCAAGGTTTCCTTGTCTATATAAGAGGAGAACGATGCCTTTGCTACAAGGATCAATTAAGATGAAGGAAATGAAAAACTTTAAAAGCACAAATCCCTGCACTAGGGGTTATGCGCACAAGCCCCATTCCATTTAGACACCCACAGAGCCAGACTGCTTGATTCTGAATCCCAGCTTTGCTCCTTATTGGCTGTGTGGCTTTGGAGAAATGACCTGACATTGCTGTGCTGCAGTTTTCTCCTCTGTGAAACAAACATAATGAAAACCCAATGCTAGAGTGCGTTTTCATGGGAATTAAACGTATTGTCAGGCCCAGCGTGGTGGCTCATATCTGTGATTCCAGCACTTTGGGAAGCCGGGCGGGAAGACTGTTTGAGCCCAGGAGTTAGAGACCAGCCTGGGCAATATAGCGAGACCTTATTTCTACATGAAAATTTTTTTAAAAAATGAGTTGGGCATGGTGGCATGCGCCTGTAGTCCCAGATACTCAGTTGGGGGACTGAGGTGGTAGGATCACCCAAGCCCAGGAGGTTGAGGTTCCAGTGAGCCATGATTGTGCTACTGTCCTCCAGCCTGGGCAACAGAGTAAGATCCAGACTGAAAAAAAATAAAAGAAAAAAAGAGTATTGTCTAATACTCAATGAATGTTAGCTGTTTGGTAGTATCATCTCCACTCTCACCCCTTCACCAGGCAATAGAGGCTTTATCAACATGACATTGATTCATGGCACCTGTTTTGATAAGTAAGGCCATCAAACCAAACTGGTCATCTGTTACTGGAGTGAGTTGCCCCCAGGATACGTCCCTCCCCTAATTTGTGTAAGCAATGATTATGCACTGGGTGCTGTGCTAAAGACTTTACAGGTACTGGATCAATTCATTCTCCCAATAGCTCAGTGAGGTAGACACCATAATTACTCCCATTTTAAAGGTGAGGAAGTTAGAGGTTCAGACAGGCTACATAACTTGCTCAAGGTCACACAACTAAGAAGCGATGGAGCCAGGATTCCAACCCAAGTCTGTCTGACTCCAGAAGTCTGTCTCAATCACCACAGTGTCCTGTCCTTTCCCCGGGCTCTCTAGTTTGGGCTCAGCTCCAGCTTCAGGGGACCAGAGGAAGCCAGAGCCTTTCTTCCTTGACAGCGCTGCCTGCTGATTCTTTGAGGTGGGGGGAGGGCAGCCTCCTGGGTCTCTCATCGACCTCTCTGCCCTCTTGCACCCTACCCCTCCCCTCTTCCAGGGGTCTAAAGGGGCCACTAGGGACCCCAGCGGCATCCCCTTCGTGTTCCCTCAGGACCATCCTGACATCTGTACTCCTGGACAGCTTCCTGGGTCCTCAACCCCTGACCATGAAATGGTTCCACATTGATCTATGAAAAAAAAGAAAAGAAAAAAAAAACAGCCATTCTGGCCGCGGGCCCTGATGCGTAATGTCATTACGGAGTCAGCAGTGCATCCCATCCCATTATCGCCTGGCCAAGCTTCTCCGAAGCGAGCCTGGCTGCAAATGGCTTTCTCCTGTCTAGGGGGGGCATGGGGGGGGTGGGCACAGCCCCTGTTTGCCCTCCACTGCCGGAGGAGAGATTTTATCTTTAATTGACACTGGCTGCCTGCCACCGCCTTGCCTCGCCTGGCCCAGGCTCCAAGCCCGATGTTCTCTTACACTTCAGGTACAGGCTTCCCTCGCTCCTTCCCTCTCCTCAGCCATGCTGTCCTCACCCTGCTGTTCTGTGCTGCCCCAGGCAGCTCCTTTGTGTCCCTTCCTTGTGATGCTGGACATGGAGATCTCAGAAATCTGTGGAGAAAAGCCTGAGAGCAACAGGAACAGGGTGGAACGGGAATTAACACATACTGTACATCTACGGTCTGCTGTGTGTAAATGCACAACACTGGGCCAGGCCTTTACGCTCCTGTCTCTGAAATGGGTGCAGTTGTCATCCCCAATGACAGCAGATCAAGACTTTGAACAGAGGCCCCTATGACTCTAAGTTTATGTCCAGAGTAAGGTAAGAATGAGAAAAACAGGCTCCCAGACCCGACAGAGCCCAGTGCAAAATGAAAACACAGGGCTCCTTGTTCAAAACAATAATTTCACAATGGTGACAACTGAGCATTAAAACTAATGTGGGCTCTTCTGAGCAACTGCATGGGTTGCAGGGCCACAAAGCAGGCCCTGCATGTGCCTATGTGTGAGAGGGATCACAATGAGAGCCAGAGACCATCACTTGCCATGTCCCATCCTATATGGGACCAGGACGTGTTTACTCCCATCCCTAAGTGGTCCCAGTCATGCTGTCCATCCCTCATAGGCCTCGGTTCCTCAGCCATCCAGTCATTGCAACGACTTTGGCATCCCCAGGGCCTTAGCCCACTTAGAACTGGTGCAATTGCAGGGAGGAGGGGAGGCCCCCTGCACGAACAAGCAGGGATACAGTGGGATTCCTCAAACAAGGACAGTCTTTTCTTCCATGTTGCAGCTGGAGTCCAGGGGGTAGAGGTGGAGACCAGAACACCGCTCGAGAGTCAGGGGCTCTGGTTTAGTCCTCTCTGTGTGCCTAGGGCAGACCACTCTTCCTTCTGAGCGCTGGTCTCTATCTGTGAAATGCCGGGGCTAGACTCCATGGATGATTCTGGAGGTGTTGGTGGTGCGTTATGAGATGAGTGTGTACATTCCTCAGGTGTTAGGGGTGAGCCCAGGGAGGTCCCCACAGACACAGAGCCGGAAAGGAGAGGCAGAGGCAGGTGCTTACACAGCACGAGCAGCAGGACGCTCCAGATGTCTTTATTGGGGCTCGAGCAGAGCATAACGATGGAAGACATGTGGACAGGGCGCAGGGTCCGGCCTGGGCATGCCATGGACACGACAAGGGGACAGCTTTAGAAAAGGACCGACCAACACCAGGGAGGAGGGAGGGATGGGAGTGGGGAAGGAGGGCCGAGGGAGGGGCAGAGGCCAAGGCTGAAGGGGTCACCTGGCCTCCGCTATTGCACGCATCCCCTGGCCACCAGCCAGGAAGTACAGTATTGCAACTGGTCTCCTCTCGCCCGAGGCTTCCCCTTCCCAGACCCCTGAGCCAAAGGGGCAGACAGATCCCTTCCCTGCCCGTCTGCCCAGCAGCATCTTTGAAAACAAACAGACGAAGGAGACGGAACGAAAAAAGAATTCAAAAATCAAAAAGACAAAACGCCCCCCTTAGTCAAGGACACAGATGGGGTGGAAGAAGGAGGGGAGGAGGCCGCAGAGGAGCCCCTGGAAGTCCCCCCACAGCTGGGGTGTGGGGCAGGAGGTAGAACCCCAATCTGGGGTGGGGTGGGGCGAGTGGAGCAGTGACCCTGGGGGGCAGTCTGGCCTTCAACAGACCACCTGTTGACAGGGGAAACACCCTCGAGAGAGTCGCCCAGGACCGCCCATCTGGACTGGCAATTCCCAGATGCACTTTTCCTGGGACATTCCACACAGTCAGCAGAAACAACAGGGAATCAGTGACAGGGATGGGAAACCCTGGGTGGGACAAAGGTATGGGAAGACACAGCCTAACAAGACAAACCACCAATAGCACGTGCACTACACACAAGAGTATAGTATGTATGAATATAGATACTATATGTGCATATATATCTCTTCAATGTACAGTAGAACAGAACATCAGACCCAGATGGCTCTGGGCCCCGAAGGTCACATGGGCAGTTTTCCACCAGTCCTGTGCAAACAAGGATATCTGAGTCTTTCCCAGCGAAAAGATTCTTGCCTGGGTTCCAGAGTTTCCCTAAGCCTCTGGCTTTCTGTCTGTCTGCCTGTCTCTCTCACGTTGGTTCCGCTTTAAGAGAGGGTGAGGACTTCAGCCTGGGCATAGTTGGACGAGAGGGCGTCTTGGCAGGTCTCTGTGTTTAAAGAGCACAGGTGTGAGACACTAGGACGCACGCTTTCGGCCCAACATTGCCTTCTAGGGAGTGGCGGGGAGGGGGGCGGCAGCATATCCAGCAAAAGGAAGGGAGAAACAAAGAATGAGATGTTAGGAGGAAGCCAGCTGTTGAGCCCACAGGCTGCAGGTTGAGGAGCAGGCCAGGAGCAGAGCTGGAAGGCAACTGGGGCCCAGGGCTAAGAGGCCAGGGAGAGCAGGGAAGGGTTGGGGAATGCCCTTCGGCACCCCTCTGCCAAGCCCACTCTGGGCCAAGGTGATTCAGATGACGTGACAGCTTATCTCCATACCTGTTCAGACAAACCCTAGCTCCAGTAACCACTAGTCTCACGGGTCTTCAAAGTGCCAGCGCGGTGGAGAGAGAGACCACAGCTCTGCAGCCTGACACGCAGGCTGCTGGGAAAGTTCCCAGTGTGTGGCTCACAGGTGTCCGCCCTAGCTGTTGCCTGCCCATCTTGAGCTCTCCACCAAACAGCTCCATCCACTGTCACCACCCTGGGGTATTCCACGGTCCCAAGGAGCTGGTGAAGAAGGCTCCCGAATATGGTGCCATGATGTGCCCAGCCCCCTTCCTCAGTGTGGCTGGAACAGAGTCCAGACAGTTGGAGAGCATGCAACCTCAGGTGAGTGCTGAAGGGGAAGGTCATGGAGGACGAACGTGCCTGTCTCAGGAGAAAGTCAGGAAATAGCATCTTATTGAGAAACGCAACTCTTCGGGAAGCCCGTATTGGGATCCTGTCCTCAGTCTGGGATGTCTGTGACTTACCCTTCCTTACCAGGGGGAGCCCAGGTAGGACAGGTGGGGCAGTGGGGATGCTGCTGTACCAGCTGCAGATCGGCGTCATCAGCGTGGGTGGCAGTTCAGCCCCCTCCAGGTCAGTGTTGGGATAGTCCCCGCAGCCCTCAGATCTGAGGTCCAGAGCAATGCCTCTCGTCAAGGCAGACCTCACAGCTCCTACCATGGGCTGCCTGGCTGCCTCCATGACTTTTCTAGGGAAAGGGCGTCCTCATCTTGGGGTGACACCATCCCCATCTTAAGACCATGTGTCCCAGCCACCTCTTTAAACACTGCCCCTTGGCCCGCTGGTGTTCTGGGCCTCCGAGTACTGTCCTTGAGGAAATTGGAGAAGCCCAAGGCTCTTCAGAACCCCGTTTCTGAGGACAAGCAGAGAGCGCTGTGGTCTTGCCCTGTATTCCTGTGGCCATACCTTGAGGCACACTTGCCACTGGTCCCAACTCACTAGGTGATGGGGGTGCCTCTGGGCTCCCTGAGGGCAACGAGATCCTAATCCGTGCTGGTGAGAGTGTTTGGGCTACTGGGCGTCTTGGATGGGCGCATGTGGGGCACAAGGAGTCACAGCAAGGTGGAGAGGTGCCCCCGAGAGCCGAAGCCCACTCTGGGAGATGATGGCCCTAGGTTGCTTTTCCACCGGCTTCCATGAACTCCCTGGCCTCAGGGGCCTCTGAGAGTTGAGGAGGGGTCTCCTTAGGAAACTCATTCTGGAATCTACCTATTTGACCCAATAGGGGTGAGGCAGGGACTTCAGGGGGTGACACCCTGGCCAGGGCAGGGGCCCTCCTCTTGCAGGAGGTTCTGTGAAAGGGCAGCCTTGGCCCCAGGGTAGCCTCCTGGAGGCCTGGCCCTCAGGCCAGTACATGGCCTCCCTTCCATTATCCAGGCTCCAGGCTGCAGTCCCCTCCCCGCTGGCTCCACCCCTCAGAAGCCCTGAGAGGTGGCCCCTAGGGTTGTTGGGAGCCCTGGTACAGGCTGGAAGGTTGTGAACTACTCAGGCTGCCTCCCTCTTCTGCAAGGGGCTAAAGCCCAGGTGTGGGGGAAAGGCTTCTGAGAGCCAAAGAAGGGGGTGTACGTCCAGGTCTACCCCAAGGAAAACAAACTCCACTCTCAGGGGGTGGGCGGGAGAGAGTCTTCTCTCAAGGAGGGAGGCCCAAGGCCTGGGAGGGGCTGAGGCTACTGAGGGCAGCCGTCTCCCATGGAAGAGCCCGGCACACAGGGACGGGCCTGCAAATGCCAAGACTCACCCTGCCCTTTCCCAGGGCTCTGGGCAGGTCAGGGGTACTCAGAGGTCACTGAGGACAGACCACCTACTCCACTCTCCCGTTAGCTGGGTCCTGTCTCTCCCTGTGAAGCCAGAGAGCCAGGAGGGATGTGTGGGAGCCCAGCTCCCCAAGGCATTAGGGCTCCAGCCTGGCACTGGTGCATCTTGTCGCCCAGGGACATCTGTGCCCACCATAGGGGTGCCGTGAGTAGGCCCATCCCTGTGGGAGGGAAGAGAGGGAAGGAGGCGGTGGGTGCCGTGGAAACTTGGGCTCCTGACAACTTGAGGGCTGCCACAGAAATAGCGGCCTCGGTTCCCTGAACCAGAAAGGCAAGTCGGGAGAAAATAGCTGTGGTACCCGCGCTAACCTGGACACCTAGCTCATCATGTCCCTGTGAGAGCCTAGACCCTGGGGCCAGGGAGCCCTGCCAGCTGTGTGTGGGCGTGGGGGGGGATGTGAGGGGATAGTGTCTCCATCCTGCTCCACAGGCTTCCTCATCCTTGTCACTTGAAGGGCCTGTCTCCTGCTGAAGGGTAGTTGTGTGAAGGCCCTTTTCTCTCCAACGTGTAAGGGACACTTCATTCTGAGAGCCAGTGGGAGACACAGAACACAGCAGGGCTGAATGGACCTTTCCAGAAAGGATGTTTCCGAGTCTGCCCAAGACCAAGGGAGGCGCTGTCCTGGCACAGGCTCTGCGCAACGCCCCCGACCCCATGAAGGAATCTGATCTGCCCAGTTCACCTTTGAGGGTGGAGTCCGATCTCCCAGCCTCTGCAGGGGCCTGGAACGCCGTCCATCTATGCCCACCATGGGAAGGAGTAGATACGGCCCTTCCTTAGTCATTCCCTCTACAAAGTTGCATAATCTGACTCTAAAAATTGCCAAGCCGCACGGCTCTGCTGTCAGGTCTAATTCCCATCAGGTAAAACAGGAAATGTCTTGGCTGCGGCAGGCCTTGTTCCTCAGGCTGCAGAGGGCCTCCTTCCTGGGAGGGGCAGGACGGCTTCTGGCCCCACACTTCCCCTCAGCTGCCCCTGCGCGAGGTGTGCCCCTGCTCATCCAATGACTCACAAACCTGTGGTGCTCCCGGGCTCGTTAGGTAAATGAATACACTTAATTATAGAAATTAGATGAGTCTCCGGTTCTGGCAGGATTACACAGCACAGAGGCTGGGTGGGAGCGGCAGGTGACTCAGAGGCAGGGCTGGGAGTCTGAGGGAGCGGGAGAGACAAGAAAAACTCGCGGAAGCAGAGGAAGCAGCGTGGAGAGCTCGGGGCACAGATGGGCCACTGGGCACTGCCGCGGGGAGTCACCCGCTGAATCTGGTCAGGGGCTCCCCCAGAGGAGGGCCTCCTGTGCCTAGGCTGCCCACCCTCGGCTCGCACCAAGCCTGGGGCTACAACTCCAGGCCCACCTGTGCCCCAGGCCAGAGCCAGAAAATATCAGGCCACTTCTCCCAGGGCAGCACTGCTGTGGGCACTGCTCTTCCAGGGAGGCAAACCTCGTTTACACCAGCAGAGATGCCCCATGTGACAGCCTTGTTCCTTGCTGGTCTGGGTGAGGGATGGACGGACGGATAGACAGACAGACAGACAGACAGACAGACAGACAGGCTGTTTGGTTACTGATTAAAGGCCATGAGGAATAGAAATACGTTCGCAGGAATTAAAAATATTAATGTAGCCAGGCATGGAGGCTCACACCTGTAATCCCAGCACTTTGGGAGGCTGAGCCAGGAGGATTACTTGAGGCCAGGAGTTCAAGACCAGCCTGGGCAACATAACGAGACCTCATCTCTAGAAAAAAAATTAACCAGGCATGGTGATGTGTACCTTTAGTCCCAGCTACTTGGGAGGCAGAGGCAGGATTGTCTGAGCCTAAGAGGTTGAGGCTGGGGTGAGTCGTGATGGTGCCATTGCACTCCAGGCTAGGTGACAAAGTGAGACCCTCAACTAAAAAAAAAAGCAGGTGTGGCTCTCCAGTGAGCTGACTGGTCCCAGGCACACTGTATCACCATATTCCTAGCCACAGAATTTGACCCTGGTAGGACCCGGAGGAAAAGCAGGGCCCAGGGACAGAGTCTGGGTGTCTCAAGAAGAGACTGGGATGGGTGGGTAGGAGCCCTGGGAGTCATGTCCCCTTTGCTCCCAGGTCCAGATCAGAACATTTTGGGGAGCTGGGTGCTATGAGGCGAGGCGCAGGAGCCTGAATTCCTCTCCTCCTGGTGTTCCCTCCAGCTATTCCCTTGAGGCTGGGGAGATGGAGGGAACGGAGATGTGTGGTGGGAGGGTGTGTGCATGTACCTGTTTGTGCCCGGAGGTGAGGGTGCAGCTAAGGGGCAGAGTGTGGGGGGGTGGGCTGGTGAGGGGATGGAAGGGGGGAGTATGCAGGAGCTTTCTCGGAGGGTAGGGTGAGCTGTATCGCCACGCCAGTGGAGACAGCCCCAGGCCGGTTCCGGCTGCTCCAGCTATGTTGTTTAGACTCCGGGACTTTTCACAGCCTTGGTGAAGAAAAGGTACATGGGTCAGTGGGGCACACACAGATCCTTGGGTCCATGCTCCAGGGGACACTGCAGGGTTGGCGGCCCTGGACTGGCGTGGAGGGGTTTGGACCTCTTGGGAGAGACTCCTTGGCTTTCCCTGGCCTCTGGATCACCTGGGATCCTGGGACAGACTACAGCCCCACACCCAGCTGACCTTTGTCCTGTTCTGTCCCCAGGTAAGTTCCCCTCCAATTCATTGACAGCCCAGCTGCACAAAGACCTCAAGCTTCTGGCACCGGCCTTCTTAACCCTGAGAGGCCCTAAGTAAGCCCTGCCACCTTGCTCCCAGAGAACCAATACTCCGACAAGGGGCAGCTGCATATTAATGATGGGGCTTGCACAGGTGGCTGGAGGAGGTCTGGGTCCGCTCACTCCTGCTCCTCCATGAAACCTGAGCGCAGAGAAGCGCAGCGTGCTATGGTGCGGGGAAAGTTATCGAGTGCGCACCGGGAGTTTGGCAATGTTAATTGCCACGCTTGCAAGCAGGGCCTGTTTCCCAGCAACCCACCTGTTCCCTCTCGAAGGTCACTCTAATTGGCTGAGCTACATGCTTGCTGCCAAGAAGCAGTGTGGAGGCATCTTGAAAATAGAGCAGCCGGGCCCCACAGGCGCCCCAGAGAGACAGGGTGGTGGGACGCATGCTCCCCACACCCCGTGCACACACACGTGCAACCCCAGCCCCAGGTGCAGCCCGCTCCCAGGACCTCGTGGGCTGTCCTGACTGGCATCCTCACAGCCTTTTCCACACTTACTCTGCCGAGCCCCTCACAGCCCAAGAGGAAAGCAGGTGTGCTCAACTCCTGCACAGGGACCCCCTTCACCTCTCATGCTAGGCTGTCTTCTTGCTATGGTCCAGCCACAGCGAGGCTCTGGACCTGAACAAGGACACAGTGAAAGCCACTGCATGCTTGGGGTGGGAGGCAGGAGAGAAGGCCACATCCAGGGTCCGAAGATTTGGGGTCTGGGGCCAAACAGAGGAACACAGGTGACGACAGAAGTCTGAGCACACTCCATCTGCAGTCTTTAGCTGGGGCCTCTGGGCTACCTCTTTCTAGGTGACACCCCACAGGACACATGCCCAGCAAAGTCGGACACATACCTCTTGGGGCCTAGATAGAGTCAGGGAGGCCTAGGGAGTCCATGAGAACAGTGGTGCTGGGAAGGCCGGGGAAAGGAATGGGAAAGTGCCCCAGGAGTCTGCATGGGCTAGGCAGGCCAAGGGCCATCTTTAGGGGGACAGAGGCATCATAGCCTGTTCCTGCAGCTGCCGCCGCTCCTGCCTCACACTCAGTCCTGTCTGTGTCTGAGAAGTAAGCGATGGGAAATCTGGCTGGTTGAGTGGCAGACAACCCGGGAAAGAACTTTGTTTTGGGGGGAATCAGAGTTTTCCCTGGAAGCAGGTAGGATGTTTAGGAAGGTTAGTTCATAAGGATAGGGCAAGAAAGACAAAAAAGTGATTGAAAATTGGGTAGAAGGAACTCCCTGGTCTCATCTACCACCAGCCCTCAACCACCCTTGGTCATTTCTGCCCTCCCCGCTTCCAGGCCAGGAACCCCTTGCTCCACAGTCTAATTTCTACCCTGGCTCTGCCACAGGCTTGGGGCCTGGGGATGGAATTCCACCTTTTATGACAAGCAGGGACTGGGCTCTCCCTTCACCTCCCCAAATCCTCCAGAATATTCCTCACGTCTCCCACCCCCGGTCCCTCTAGCTTTGCCCCAGTCACACCCAGATGCTTGTAGATTAGGGTCAGCCCATCCTGGGCTCCCGGCACCCCCAGTGCAAGATGGGAGGGTGTGGGGCCTGTACCAGGCTCCCTGACCCGAGTGTTGTTCCATCTCCCGGGACGACTTACTTGGGAAGACTTAGCTATGCTTGAGGGAGGCCTAGGGAGAGGCTGGCAGTGATCCCACGGAGCGGGGCCCAAGGGTAACAGCAGGAACCAGAGGCAGAGAAGGGGATGAACGTGGAAGCCAGGGGTGGGGACCCCTGGCTTGGTATCCCCTTGACCCACTAGCACTGCTCTTCCCTGAGGCGCCTGGTGAGGAGGGTTCCGTCTTCTCTTCCAGGATGCAGGATGCCTTTCTAACTCGGGGACTAGGAGATCAGACATACATCCTTTCTAAAAGCGGGGGCACATCCAAGGCAGAGGAGATGGTAGCCATGGTCTTAGGGGTGGGGGGGACCTCAAGCTCTGTGGGGGAAACTGGAGTGACTCAGCTCTGTAGGGGCTCCCCGCCTGCCCATCCTGGGGAGCCATACCTTTCCGGACACTACCGTCGGCACAAGCGTAGTCCCCGGCGCTGAGCAGGAAGCAGGCAGCTGCCTTCTTGTTCCTGTCTCGAGTGGCCGAGCGTCGCAAGGCCCGGCGCTCCTCAGGGGACGGGGCGGAGGCCAGGGGCTGGGTGAGGCCAGCTCCCTCCTCATCAGACAGCACCGCATTGGCGTCACCGTTCTGCTTAGAGTCTGAAAAGAGGCCAACAGAAAGGAGGCTGCGTGAGAGGCTGGCTGGGCTTTGCCCATGGGGTCACCTGGGATCTCTCAGATCTCAGACCCAGTGTCACTTCCTCAATCTCATGAGGGGCTCTAGTGTCTGCCCGAGAGGGAATGTCACTGGAGCCAGGGAGCAGGCCCATGCCAGGGGTAGGGGGCAGAGGGCAGGATGCTATGCTTGGTCTGAAAGTTGGTGGCCTTTCCCGGCCTCGGCTCAGAGTCTTATTCCTAGGGGATGAAGCCACAGCACAGATAACCACAGATAACCAAATCGGCCCACTGAGGGCTGCCCTGTGCGATCTGCCCAAGGCAGGTAGGTGGCAGTTGCTAGTTCTTCTTTGGGTCTGGCTCAGGCTGACACTTGGTTGAGTGCATTCCCGCAGAGAATGCCTGGCTTGCTAGGGGTGAGAGGTGGTACCACCAGGGTTAAGTTTATAAAGTGGCATCCACGTGCTCTGCCTGGACCACCTGGAGGCAGACATTCCTTGTTTATTAGGCATCTAGGCCAGAATCCAGTGCCTGAAAGACTCAGAGCCCCCTGCTCCCAAGGCTGACCTGAGTCTGGGGGGAAAGGTCAGGGCAGCGCCCCACTGCTGTGGGCTCCTGGTCCCCACCCCTTGCCTCTGTCAGTCAGCAGCACAGGTGAAGCTGGGCCCTTGGATCTGGAGAAGGGGGTGCTACTCTGCCTGAAGACAGTGGCCCTGGGATCCACCAGACATGCCCTTAACATGGCTGAGCATTGAGGGTCAGGCCAAGGGCATGGCTGACAGGGCCATAGTTAAGTGTACACGGAAGAGCTGACCTCAGGACTTCTGGCCCCAGATGGGCCTCAGAGGACAGCTGCAATTCCCTGAGAGACGATATTCAGGGATTAGGAAGAGTTACTACTCTCGGAGAAGGAAGCCTGATAGGTGCTGTTCTATCCAGGTCTTGGAAGACCCAGGCCCCTGAATGACCCCAGGGAGTGAGTGGCTCCAGCACATATGATGGGCACATGCCAACAGGCCACAGGTGGGTGTTCTGAGTCAGGCACCTTCCTTGGAAGACCAATCCCACTTTGTCCCAGAGCTTAGCCACTTTGTCCCAGACCTTAGTCTCCTGGCCCTGGCCCAGTTCCCCGATGGCCTGGCATCTGACGGTTCCCCATACGGCGAACACCACACCTTCCCCAGGAGCCCTGCCCTACCTAAGAGCTGAGATGGCTTTCCCACTTTCCAACCTGACTCCATGTTGCTGGGGATGATGCTGATTCCCATTTCCCACCTCCTGACTCAGAGGAAGGCCAGCTTTCTTGGGGTGGCCTTCCTGTCCTTGATGGACAGGATTCAGATACCCAGGCCTCCCCCTTCCAGGATGCAGGTGCTAGTTTCTTCCAACTTCCCCCACTTCCAAAACTGCCTGGGCCGCTCCCTCCTCTGTTCCCCTCTAGCCCATGTCCAACCCTGAGCCTAGGACTCAATCTAGCTTGTGCGAGAAGGCAGCCTCCCGCTGCGGCTGCTTTATCACATTTATTAGGCCAGGAGACACCAGACTCGAACGTTTTCAGAGAAGTGATTCATGTGTTGATGCACCTTGAAAGAACAGCTGCCCTGCTCTCTGGTTAATAATGACAGCACCTGACATTTGTAAAGTGGTTTTCACTTCTCAAAGAGCTTTCATATGTGTCATGCACTCAGGTCTTTCAAAGTCTTGGGGAAGGATATTGATATCATTCCCGTTTTGCAGGTGAGACAGCTATGCCTAGAGAAGGTGAGTGATTGGCCTCAGGGACCACAGCACAGTGGCCAAGAGGGGATGAGAGACCAGGGCTTCTGACATACAGCCCCATGCACTGCCCATGATAGTCTACACTGGGGGTTCAGGAAACTATCAGATCTGATAGTCAGGAAGCTATCAGAGAGCAAGCCAGAAGACAGAGCATTCTGGCCTCAATACTTTGCTCTCATGAAGGCATATCTTTTTTTTTTTTTTTAGTTTTTGAGTTGGGCTCTCACTCTGTCGCCCAGGCTGGAGTGCAATGGTGTGATCAAGGCTCACCACAGCCTCCACCTCCTGGGCTCAGGCAATCCTTCTAGCTCAGACTCCTAAGTAGCTGGGACTACAGGTGTGCACCACCACGCCCAGCTTGTTTATTTTATCTTATTTTTATAGAGATGAAGTCTTGCTATGCTGCCCAGGTTGGTCTTGAATTCCCAGGCTCAAGTGATCCTCCCACCTCAGACTCCCAAAGTGCTGGGATTATAGGCATGAGCCACTGAGTCTGGCCACCGCACATCTTATACATAGGGAAGCCCAGCACAGTAAAGCACAACCCCAAATCCCAAGGGAGAACTCCCTCAGCCACTGGGGGATTGGAGGCCTTCCCTCCTGACCCCTCATCTCACCTGCCCGCTTCCTCTCGATCATACCCTCCTCCCGGGCAGGGGGGCTGGTATCACTGTAGGTGCTGTCCCGGGGCGAGGTCTCCTCAGACTTGCAGTACATGGGCGACTCGAGCTGGGCCGGCCGCGGCACGTGCTTCTTCCGCTTCTTGGGCAGCTTCTGCTTGGCCATGGCCAGGGAGTAGTACATGCCGAAGTTGTTGACAATGACGGGCACCGGCATGGCGATGGTGAGCACACCGGCCAGCGCACACAGCGCCCCCACCAGCATTCCCGACCACGTCTTGGGGTACATGTCCCCGTAGCCCAGCGTCGTCATGGTGACCACGGCCCACCAGAAGCCGATGGGGATGTTCTTGAAGTCGGTGTGGTCATTGCCCCGCGGGTCGGAGGGCCTGGCCCCGATGCGCTCGGCATAGTAGATCATGGTGGCGAAGATGAGCACGCCCAGGGCCAGGAAGATGATGAGCAGCAGGAACTCGTTGGTGCTGGCCCGGAGGGTGTGGCCCAGCACGCGCAGCCCCACAAAGTGGCGCGTGAGCTTGAAGATGCGCAGGATACGCACAAAGCGCACCACGCGCAGGAAGCCCAGCACGTCGCGGGCCGCCTTGGATGACAGGCCGCTCAGCCCCACCTCCAAGTAGAAGGGCAGGATGGCCACAAAGTCGATGATGTTGAGCAGGTTCTTGACGAAGTCCAGCGTGTCGGGGCAGCACACGATGCGCACCAGGAACTCCAGCGTGAACCACAGCACGCACACGCCCTCGATGTAGGTCAGGATGGGCTCGGTCTCCACCTCCCGCCGGAAGCGCACGCTGGTGACGTTCCCCACCCGGTGGATCTCTGTCACGTTGCGGTCGATGTTGAAGGCCTCGTGGGTCTCCAGGCAGAAGGTGGTGATGGAGACCAGGATGAAGAAGAGAGAGGCAAAGGCCACCACCTGTGGGGGTGGGAGAGCAGGGGCAGCCATCAGACAGGGATGGACAGGCCCAGCGAGGGACACGGGCTTCTGCACAAAGGTCACCAGGCAGCGTGAGGGTGAGAAGTGGGATTAAGGTACGAAGTCATGGGCTGGAATTCCCTCCCAGAAAGTCTTTATCCACCTGTTTGGGTGCCTAGGGCAATGCTTCTTAATCTCTGACGGGTGCACAGAAGACAGAGGCTGCTCTTGGCTGACAACTACTAGTCAGGCGTCGACAGCTGCCTGGCCCTAAGTAGGACACTCCACCGCTATCCCACTCATGTTTTAAGGCTTCTCCAACTCTAATGGCTGTACAAACCACTTGGGAAACTTGCTACCATACAATTCTGTCCAGGAGGTTTAGGGTACGGCCTATGACTCTGAATTTCTTTTTAAACAATTTTATTTTTGTTTTATTTAATTTTTGAGTCAAGGCCTCACTCTGTCGCCCAGGCTGGAGTGCAGTGCAGTGGCATGATCACAGCTCACTGCAGCCTCCACCTCCTGGAATCACATGATCCTTCTGCCTCAGCCTCCCAAGTAGCTGGGACTATAGGTACATGCCACCCTGCCTGGGTAATTTTTTATTCTTATTTTTGTAGAGATGACGTTTCACTATGTTGCCTAGGCTGGTTTCGAACTTCTGGGCTTAAGCAATCCTCTTGTCTTGGCCTCCCAAAGAGCTGGGATTACAGGTGTGAGCCATCATGCCTAGCTGACTGCATTTCTAACAAGTTCTCCAGTGAGGCTGTTTGTCCACAGACCACAACTGGAGCAACTAGGCTTTAAGGCAGTGGTCCTCAAAGTAAGGTCCTGGACAGAAGCATCAGGTTTCTGGGAACTGGTTAGAAATGCACATTTCAAGCCCCACCTGAACCCATTGAATGAGAAATGCAGAGGGTAGGGCCCAGCGATCAGTGTCAGCAAAGCTCCCAGGTAATTCTGACACACACTAGAGTTTGAGATCGACTGTATTAAGGGATGCCAGAGGCAGGCAGCTGTGAGGAACGACCCTGGGCCTCTCCCCACTGGCAGAGCCTATTAGCCACAGACCCTCTCTCCTGCACAGAAAGAGGGGGTGGATCACAGACACTCCGGATGTCCCTGCTGACTGCCCAGATCGCAAAGAAGCCCCTGAGGGAAGACAACATGACCCATGGCAGGACACAGGGTCGTCTGCCCAGAATAACCAGCCCTGCCCCTTCTCACAAAGTGACATTTCCTGGACTCTGAGCTCCACAGAAAAATGAACCACACCCATCAGGATTAGAGAGTGGCAGCATCGAGGACAGCTGCTGGGATTGCAACTAGAATGATGACAGCAGCACTCGACAGAGGAACTGTTGGGTTTAAGTGTCCAGTCATTATGAATGGGGATGAAACGCACGTGTAATAACACCAATTATGGAGCCTTCATCCGTTATTCATGCAGTGCCATTCACCACTGTCAGGATGCCCGCTGCTGGGGCTTGGTCTCGTGTCCCCCGCTGCCGCCTGTCCTGCTTGGTGGGGGGTGCTGGGCTTCCACCCTGACCAGAGGACTAAGCCTAAATAGGTAGGCACGGCCCTGCCTCCTGTCCAATGAGGACTCTGAGAGCTTTTCCTCCCTGGGAGGCTGCACCAGGAGGGAGAGGGCACAGTGTGTTCTCAGTGGAGAATACCAGGAAAATGAAGCAAGAAGCAGCGTCCCAAGGCTTCTAGAGCAGGAGCAGGTCTGAGGAGGGAACTTTGGGAAGCAAACAATCATCAGCTGTCTCTTTTGTGTCTAGCACCGTTAAGCACTGGGTATGTGCTTCAGTGGCCTTCAGTTCTCCCAGGGACCCTGTGAGGCAGGCCTCAATATCTCATTTTATGCAGGAAGAGTTGCAGATCAGAGAGGTTAAGTACTTGACTGAGGTCACACAGCCTGGAAGGGGTGAACACCAGATTTGAATTCAGAACAGTTTAACTTCAGAGGCTGCATCTTCTCTTTAGACGGCACTGTCTTCACCACTTCCCGGGCAGGGTCAGTTCACAAGCCCAGGAAAGCCATCTCTGAATTGTCAGTCCTGTTTCCAGTCAGCTCCCTGATACCTGCTATTTCACCCTTAGGGAATCTTGGGTTTAGGACAGATCCCCCAGCACATACTATGATATACTTAATTTACACTTGAACTTGGATAGGTCGATCAGCAACAGCACAGAAAGAGGGGGTGGATCACAGACACTTTCCCTACAACTTTACCTGGAGCTTCCCCTGCCTGCTTCTATCCAGTGAAGGTACATTTCAAGTTCCTTTTCTGGCCTCAGTTTTCCTCCTCTGAGATATGGGCACTAAGCAATGGCTCCAGCCTGTGGGCTTTCCATGGCCATCCAGAGACGAGCTAATGAAATGCCTGTCTGTGGCCGTGGCAATGCTGGGGATCCATTCCCGGCACCACCCCCTTCCCTGAGAAACAGAAGGCACTGGGGTAAAGGGTGGGGACAGCACATCCCAATTCTGCCAGGAAACACGGGAAGCTCACTCTCTGAGGAGAAGTTAGCCAGGAGAGCTGGCCCACCTGGGAGCCAGAGTGTGAAGTTAATTAGTGATTTGGAAAAACAAGTTCAGGAAGAGCTGCCAAGGGGCTGAGCACAGGGAGCCGAGAGGACAAGTGACAGGGTGGCCCGGGCCCCTCTCTCACAGCAGGGCCGAGGAGCCAGTCTTGCCACCTCCTCAGCCACCAGGTCAGGGGCTCATTCTGCAGCGAGGAAGACTCCCTCGGGCTCAGGAGATGCAAATCATGCTCCTGGGTTACGGAGAACAGCCCGCTGTGTTTCTGCTCCACTCACTTCCACTTTTTTAGAAACACAGAACTGTCCCATCTATTAACTTCTATCCCTCACCCTCCACCCGCTGAGAAGAGGAGGGCAGGTAAAGGGTAGCCGCGGGTGCCTGCTTTTCAGGGGTAACAGAGGTACAAAAGCAGGTCAGTGACTTTCTCAGGCTCAAACTGAGTCTCCTGACTCAGCTCAGAGCTCTTTCTACTTGGTCCCTCTGACCAAGCAAGTGAGGACAATCCCCTCTGTGGTGGCATGAAACCTTGGTGGGGCCTCAGTCTCCGCTGTGACCTGTCCAGGGCTAGGAGGTAAGTGCCTGGCAGGCCCCAGAAAGTCCTCACTCCCAAGGAGACAGAACTGGGGCCGAGCTGTGGCATATCCGAGACCCTGGGCTTTGGCATACTGTCCAGGTTATAGGGTTCCCTCCAGGGCCCAAATGATTCCTTTCTCCCCTGAGTGATCCCCCAAATGGAATTACTTCATAAGTGGTTGACCTGCTTGCAACTGGTGATTCTCAGTAGGCCTTCCCCTCCGGGGCAGGGGTACTGCTCGCTTTCTCACAAGTCCCTTGACTGGGGGTTTTCTGGGACAAGAAGGGGTCTGGGAAGGTGGCTGCAGCAACAGCACCCGTGTAGAGATCAAAGCCTCGGCTCCAGCCTTCCATTCAACCCCCACTGGGCCATGCTGCCATCCTGCAATGCCAGCAGCATGCATCTATCTGATCCCCCTTCCCATCAGCCCCTGCACTGCCAGCCTGAGTGCACAGGACAGCTAAGAAGTCCTGGGCGAGAAGTTTTGGCCCTGGGCTCAGATTTCCTGGGCTCTACATCCTGGCGCTACCACTCAACTAGGTAAATGGTGCCTTCTGTACCTGTTTCCTCACTATAAAATGGGGAAGTAATAGGGCCCACGTACAGTGCTATTATAGGGTTAAATGAGTGTCTATATGGCACCCTGTAAGCACTCAATGACATGGTGACAGAGCTGAGGAGGTGCAGGGCCCCAAGGGACCCCTGCATGCAGCTTCTGATGGTGAGCTGGATCTGAGGCCAAAAGCTCACAGAATCTTTGCTTTCCAGAAGGGAGAGAGACTCAGTCATCCAGCTCAACTCCCATTCTGCTGTTTCACAGATGAAGAAACTGAGGGCTGAGAAGTGACTTGCCCTGGTTTCTGTAGCCAAAGCGATCAATTCTTTCCACTGTAAAAGGCACAGAGCCTGCTGGAAGTCCAGATGGCCCAAGCAGAAGATTGCCCAAGCAGAAGACTGGGTATGAACTGGCTCCTCCAGGGCCACTCCCCTCCCTCCTGCTGGGAGGATACAGGGGGTCTCACACCCTAGGCAGGAGGTGCCCAGCCCAGTCTCTTTGCAGGAGAGCACTTCTCCCGGGAGCTTCCTGCTCCCCTGGGCTCCTCAACACACTAACTGGCTGGCTGTGTCCTGTTGGGGACCCACGGGTCTCCAAAGGCCCAGGTGTGCAGCCCTATCACCAAGCCCATCCTTAGGCTCTCATCATGAAAATGCAAAACCACACACTTATGGGTTCAAGGTGGGCTCTGTTACTAATTGCCTGTGAGACCTTGGGGGAGTTTCTTTTTCATTTTTTTGAGTTGGCGTCTCACTCTGTCGCCCAGACTGGAGTACAGTGGCACGCTCCCAGCCACCGCAGCCTTGACCTGCTGGGCTCCTGCGATCCTTCCGCCTCAGCATTCCAAGTAGCTGGAACTACAGGCGTGAGTTTCTTAACCTCTTTGAGCCTTAGAATTTTCATTTATAACACAGAAAACTGAGCACCTGTTATGTGCCAGACACTGTTTTGGGAAACAGCAGGGGGAAAAACAACACCACCACCCTGGCTCCTTGGACCTTATATTCTAATGAAGATAGACTGTCAACACGTAAACTAGTAAAACACACAGTATGTTGAACAGTATGTATTAAGGAGAAAAATAAAGAGAAAAGGGAGAGAAGGGGTGTGAAGTGGGGGCGTTATTTCAAATAGAGCGGTCAAGTAAGGCCTCAATGACAAGGTGACATCCGAGCAGAGACCTAGGGGAGCGAGGGAATGAGTCATAGGAAGATCCAGAGAGTTCAAGAAGCAGGAGGAACAAGCGATGCAAAGGCCTTGAGGCTATAGAATGCTTGGTGTGTTTGAGGAAAAGAGAGCAGTACCTACCTTGT